GACCCCAAAACCCCTTTTGAGGACCCCAAAACTCCCTTTGAGGACCCCAAAACCCCCCTTTTCCCCTTCCAAAACCCCCTTTAAAGACCCAAAACCCCCCCTTTTCCCCTCCCCAAAACCCCCAAAACCCCCTTTGAGGACCCCAAACCCCGCCCGGCCCCCAAAAACCCCCTTTAAAGACCCCAAAACCCCTTTTGAGGACCCCAAACCCCCCTTCCCCTCCCCCAAAACCCCCTAAAAGCCCCTTTAAAGACCCCAAACTCCCTTTGAGGACCCCAAAACCCCCCTTTTCCCCTTCCAAAACCCCCTTTAAAGACCCCAAAACACACTTTGAGCACCCCAAAACCCCCTTTGAGGACCCCAAACCCCCTTTCCCCCCTAAAACCCCCTTTAAAGACCCCAAACCCTTTATCCCCCCTAAAACCCCCTTTAAAGACCCCAAAACCCCCCTTTTCCCCTCCCAAAACCCCCTAAAACCCCCTTTTTCCCCCCTAAAACCCCCTTTAAAGACCCCAAAACCCCCTTTGAGGACCCAAAACCCCCTTTTTCCCCCCTAAAACCCCCTTTAAAGACCCCAAAACCCCCTTTGAGGACCCCAAACCCCCCTTTTTCCCCCCTAAAACCCCCTTTAAAGACCCCAAAACCCCCCTTTTCCCCTCCCAAAACCCCTTAAAACCCCCTTTAAAGACCCCAAAACCCCTTTTGAGGACCCCAAAACCCCCTTTTCCCCCCTAAAACCCCCTTTGAGGACCCCAAAACCCCCTTTTCCCCCAAAAACCCCCTTTAAAGACCCCAAAACCCCTTTTGAGGACCCCAAACGCCCCCTTTTTCCCCCTAAAACCCCCTTTAAAACCCCCTTTTTCCCCCCTAAAACCCCCTTTAAAGACCCCAAAATCCCCTTTAAAGACCCCAAAACCCCCTTTAAAGACCCCAAAACCCCCTTTAAAGACCCCAAACCCCCCCCATTTTGGTGTTTCCCCCCCCCGGTACCCACCGAGCTGCTCGAGCATCTTGTCGCACTCGTCCAGGATGAAGTGCTTGATGTGCTTGAGGTTGAGGCTCTTGTTGCGCGCCAGCGCCAGGATGCGGCCCGGCGTGCCCACCACGATGTGGGGGCAGTTCTTCTTGAGCACCTCCTCGTCCTTCTTGATGGAGAGACCCCCGAAGAACACCGATACCTGCCCGGGACACACACACACACATACACCATGGTGGCTCACACAGCCTGCACCGGGGGGCAGAGGGGATGGGGGGACGCAGCAACCATCGCACGGACACCTGAACACTCCAGAGATACACCTGAACCATCACACGTACACCTGAACACTCCAGAGATACACCTGAACCATCATAGATACACCTGAACCATCATAGATACACCTGAACCATCACACGTACACCTGAACCATCACAGATACACCTGAACCATCACACGTACACCTGAACCATCATAGAGACACCTGAACCATCATAGAGACACCTGAACCATCACACATACACCTGAACACTCCAGAGATACACCTGAACCATCACACATACACCTGAACCATCACATGTACACCTGAACCATCACACGTACACCTGAACCATCGCACGTACACCTGAACCATCGCACGTACACCTGAACCATCGCACGTACACCTGAACCATCGCACGTACACCTGAACACTCCAGAGATACACCTGAACCATCACACGTACACCTGAACCATCATAGAGACACCTGAACACTCCAGAGATACACCTGAACCATCACACATACACCTCAACCATCATAGATACACCTGAACCATCATAGATACACCTGAACCATCACAGGGACACGTGAACCATCACAGGGACACCTGAACCATCACACATACACCTGAACACTCCAGAGATACACCTGAACCATCACACGTACACCTGAACCATCAGAGAGACACCTGAACCATCACACGTACACCTGAACACTCCAGAGAGACACCTGAACCATCAGAGGGACACCTGAACCATCACACATACACCTGAACCATCATAGGGACACCTGAACCATCATAGATACACCTGAACCATCACAGAGACACCTCAACCATCACACGTACACCTGAACACTCCAGAGATACACCTGAACCATCACACATACACCTGAACCATCATAGATACACCTGAACCATCATAGATACACCTGAACCATCACACGTACACCTGAACCATCACACGTACACCTGAACCATCACACGTACACCTGAACACTCCAGAGATACACCTGAACCATCAGAGGGACACCTGAACCATCACACGTACACCTGAACCATCAGAGGGACACCTGAACCATCACACATACACCTGAACCATCACACATACACCTGAACCATCACACATACACCTGAACACTCCAGAGATACACCTGAACCATCATAGATACACCTGAACCATCACACGTACACCTGAACACTCCAGAGATACACCTGAACCATCACACATACACCTGAACCATCGAAGGGACGCCTGAACCATCACAGGGACACCTGAACCATCAGAGGGACACCTGAACCATCACACATACACCTGAACACTCCAGAGATACACCTGAACCATCGCACGTACACCTGAACCATCATAGATACACCTGAACCATCACAGATACACCTCAACCAACACAGATACACCAAACCATCACACATACACCTGAACACTCCAGAGATACACCTGAACCATCACACGTACACCTGAACCATCATAGATACACCTGAACCATCACACGTACACCTGAACCATCAGAGGGACACCTGAACACTCCAGAGATACACCTGAACCATCACACGTACACCTGAACCATCATAGAGACACCTGAACCATCACACGTACACCTGAACACTCCAGAGATACACCTGAACCATCAGGAGGACACCTGAACCATCATAGATACACCTGAACCATCACACGTACACCTGAACACTCCAGAGATACACCTGAACCATCACACATACACCTGAACCATCACACGTACACCTGAACCATCATAGGGACACCTCAACCATCACACGTACACCTGAACCATCAGAGGGACACCTGAACACTCCAGAGATACACCTGAACCATCACACGTACACCTGAACCATCATAGATACACCTGAACCATCAGAGGGACACCTGAACCATCAAAGGGACACCTCAACCATCAGAGATACACCTGAACCATCAGAGATACACCTGAACCATCACAGGTACACCTGAACACTCCAGAGATACACCAAACCAGCCCAGAGATACACCTGAACACATCACACATACACCTCAACCATCACACGTACACCTGAACCATCACAGATACACCTGAACCATCGAAGGGACACCTGAACCATCACAGGGACACCTGAACCATCACACGTACACCTGAACACTCCAGAGATACACCTGAACCATCACAGGGACACCTCAACCATCACAGATACACCTGAACCATCATAGATACACCTGAACCATCATAGAGACACCTCAACCATCACACGTACACCTCAACCATCACAGGGACACCTGAACCATCACACATACACCTGAACCATCACACGTACACCTGAACCATCGCACGTACACCTGAACACTCCAGAGATACACCTGAACCATCATAGGGACACCTGAACCATCACACGTACACCTGAACCATTACACGTACACCTGAACCATCAGAGGGACACCTGAACACTCCAGAGATACACCTGAACCATCACACATACACCTGAATCATCATAGAGACACCTCAACCATCACAGATACACCTGAACAGGTACACCTCAACCATCACAGGTACACCAAACCAGCCCACAGATACACCTGAACACCCCATAGATACACCTGAACACCCCATAGATACACCTCAACCAACACAGATACACCTGAACAGGTACACCTCAACCATCACAGATACACCAAACCAGCCCATAGATACACCTGAACACCCCATAGATACACCTCAACCAACACAGATACACCAAACCAGCCCATAGATACACCTGAACACCCCATAGATACACCTCAACCATCACAGATACACCAAACCAGCCCATAGATACACCTGAACACCCCATAGATACACCTCAACCATCACAGATACACCTCAACCATCACAGATACACCAAACCAGCCCACAGATACACCTGAACACCACATAGATACACCAAACCATCACAGATACACCTGAACAGGTACACCTCAACCATCACAGATACACCAAACCAGCCCATAGATACACCTGAACACCCCATAGATACACCTCAACCATCACAGATACACCAAACCAGCCCATAGATACACCTGAACACCCCATAGATACACCTCAACCAACACAGATACACCAAACCAGCCCAGAGATACACCTGAACACCCCATAGATACACCTCAACCATCACAGGTACACCAAACCAGCCCAGAGATACACCTGAACACCCCATAGATACACCTCAACCATCACAGATACACCTGAACAGGTACACCTCAACCATCACAGGTACACCAAACCAGCCCACAGATACACCTGAACCATCATAGATACACCTGAACCATCACAGATACACCTCAACCATCACAGATACACCAAACCAGCCCATAGATACACCTGAACACCCCATAGATACACCTCAACCATCACAGATACACCAAACCAGCCCATAGATACACCTGAACACCCCATAGATACACCTCAACCATCACAGATACACCAAACCAGCCCACAGATACACCTGAACACCCCATAGATACACCTCAACCATCACAGATACACCTGAACACCCCATAGATACACCTGAACACCCCATAGATACACCTCAACCATCACAGATACACCAAACCAGCCCACAGATACACCTGAACACCCCATAGATACACCTCAACCATCACAGATACACCTGAACACCCCACAGATACACCTGAACACCCCATAGATACACCTCAACCATCACAGATACACCTGAACACCCCACAGATACACCTGAACACCCCATAGATACACCTCAACCAACACAGATACACCTGAACACCCCATAGATACACCTGAACACCCCATAGATACACCTCAACCATCACAGACCGAGGGAAACACCCCATAGACAGGAACCCCTCCAGTTCCAATGGGACCCACCCCAAACCCCATGGGATCATCTCTCCCCCAAAGGCCCCCCCACAAAGCCCCCTTAAGGACCCCCCCTCCTCCAATCCCTATGGGACACCCCCAATCCCTATGGGACCCCCCCAATTCCTATGGGAACCCCCATAATTCCTATGGGACCCCCCCCAATCCCTATGGGACCCCCCCTAATCCCTATGGGACCCCTCTAATCCCTACGGAAACCCCCTAATCGCTATGGGACCCCCCCAGTTCCTATGGGACCCCCACCCCAATCCCTATGGAACCCCCTAATCCCTATGGGACCCCCCAATTCCTATAGGGACCCCCCCCAAATCCCTATGGGACCCCTCTAATCCCTATGGGACCCCTCTAATCCCTATGGGACAGCCCCAATCCCTATGGGAACCCCCCTAATTCCTATGGGACCCCCCCAAATCCCTATGGGACCCCCCCAGTTTCTATGGGACCCCCCCAGTTTCTATGGGAACCCCCCCTAATCCTTATGGAACCCCCCAAATCCCTATGGGACCCCCCCAATCCCTATGGGACCCCTCTAATCCCTATGGGACCCCCCCAAATCCCTATAGGGACCCACCCCAATCCCTATGGGTCCCCCCCAATCCCTATGGGAACCCCCCCAATTCCTATAGGACCCCCCTAATCCCTATGGGACCCCCCCCAATCCCTATGGGACCCCCCCTAATCCCCCCCACAAATCCCTATAGGGACCCCCCCCAAATCCCTATAGGGACCCCCCTAATCCCTATGGGACCCCCACAAATCCCTATAGGACCCCCCCCAATCCCTATGGAAACCCCCCTAATCCCTATGGGACCCCCCCAAATCCCTATGGGACCCCCACAAATCCCTATAGGGACCCCCCCCAAATCCCTATAGGGACCCCCCCAATCCCTATGGGACCCCCACAAATCCCTATGGGATCCCCCCCCCCAAGGCCTCACCTTCACACTGGGCATGTACTTGGAGAAGCGCTCATACTCCTTGCTGATCTGGAAGGCCAGCTCCCGCGTGTGACACATCACCAGTACCGAGACCTGCGATTGGACGGCACGGGATTAGAGGTGGGGAGGGGGGGGACGGACACAGGAGACCCCAAAAATGGGGGGGAAAGGGGTTGGACACCCCCCTAAAACAGCATTGGGATGCACTGAATCCATCCGGGACCTCCTTAAAGCCATCCAGGACCTTCCTAAAACCATTTGGAACCACCTTAAATCCTTCCAGGACCCTCCTAAAACCACCTTAAATCCTTCCAGGACCCTCCTAAAACCACCTTAAATCCTTCCAGGACCCTCCTAAACCATTCAGAACCACCTTAAATCCTTCCAGGACCCCCCTAAACCATTCGGAACCCCCTTAAATCCTTCCAGGACCCTCCTAAACCATTCAGAACCACCTGAAAATCCTTCCAGGACCCTCCTAAACCATTCAGAACCACCTTAAATCCTTCCAGGACCCCCCTAAACCATTCGGAACCACCTTAAATCCTTCCAGGACCCTCCTAAAACCATTTGGAACCATCTTAAATCCTTCCAGGACCCTCTTAAACCACCTTAAATCCTTCCAGGACCCTCCTAAAACCATACAGAACCACCTTAAATCCTTCCAGGACCCCCCCAAACCATTTGGAACCACGTTAAATCCATCCAGGACCCCCTTAAATCCATCCAGGACCCCCTAAATCCTTCCAGGACCCCCTAAATCCATCCAGGACCCCCTTAAATCCTTCCAGGACCTCCTTAAATCCATCCAGGACCCCCTAAATCCTTCAGGACCTCCTTAAGAACTTCCAGGACCTCCTTAAGACCTTCCAGGACCTCCCTGAGGACCCCCCCTATCCCCTTTATAGGTGTCTATGCCCTGCCTGATGAAGAGCTCAAGCTAAAGCAGCCTGGCCAGAGACCCCCCAGGACCCCCCCCCCAAACCTTGAGGACCCCTCATAGGTGTCTCCTCACCTGCCCGGTGACGGGCTCGAGCTGCTGCAGGGTGCCCAAGGACCCCCAAACCCCTTCAGGGCCCCCCCCCCCAACCTTGAGGACCCCTCATAGGTGTCTCCTCACCTGCCTGAAGACAGGCTCAAGCTGCTGCAGGGTGCCCAAGGACCCCCAAACCCCTTCAGGACCCCCCCCAACCTTGAGGACCCCTCATAGGTGTCTCCTCACCTGCCTGGTGATGGGCTCAAGCTGCTGCAGGGTGCCCAAGGACCCCCAAACCCCTTCAGGACCCCCCCCAAACCTTGAGGACCCCTCATAGGTGTCTCCTCACCTGCCTGCTGATGGGCTCAAGCTGCTGCAGGGTGCCCAAGGACCCCCAAACCCCCCACAAACCCCTTCAGGACCCCCTCAAATCCCTTCAGGACCCCCCCCAACCTTGAGGACCCCTCATAGGTGTCTCCTCACCTGCCTGCTGATGGGCTCAAGCTGCTGCAGGGTGTCCAAGGACCCCAAACCCCCCCCCCAAACCCCTTCAGGACCCCCTCAAATCCCTTCAGGACGCCCCCACCAACCTTGAGGACCCCTCATAGGTGTCTCCTCACCTGCCTGGTGATGGGCTCGAGCTGCTGCAGGGTGTCCAAGGACCCCAAACCCCCCCCCAAACCCCTTCAGGACCCCCTCAAATCCCTTCAGGACCCCCCCCCAACCTTGAGGACCCCTCATAGGTGTCTCCTCACCTGCCTGCTGATGGGCTCAAGCTCCTACAGGGTGTCCAAGTACCCCTAAACCCCTTCAGGACCCCCCCAAACCCCTTCAGGACCCCCCCCCAAACCTTGAGGACCCCTCATAGGTGTCTCCTCACCTGCCTGCTGATGGGCTCAAGCTCCTACAGGGTGTCCAAGGACCCCCAAACCCCTTCAGGACCCCCCCAACCTTGAGGACCCCTCATAGGTGTCTCCTCACCTGCCTGCTGATGGGTTCAAGCTCCTACAGGGTGTCCAAGAACCCCCAAACCCCTTCAGGACCCCCCCAAACCTATTCAGGACACCCCCCCAACCTTGAGGACCCCTCATAGGTGTCTCATCACCTGCCTGCTGATGGGTTTGAGCTGCTGCAGGGTGCCCAAGGACCCCCAAACCCCTTCAGGACCCCCCCCAACCTTGAGGACCCCTCATAGGTGTCTCCTCACCTGCCTGCTGATGGGTTTGAGCTGCTGCAGGGTGCCCAAGGACCCCCAAACCCCTTCAGGACCCCCCCTCAACCTTGAGGACCCCTCATAGGTGTCTCCTCACCTGCCTGGTGATGGGCTCAAGCTCCTACAGGGTGTCCAAGAACCCCCAAACCCCTTCAGGACCCCCCCCCAACCTTGAGGACCCCTCATAGGTGTCTCCTCACCTGCCTGCTGATGGTTTGAGCTGCTGCAGGGTGCCCAAGGACCCCCAACCCCCCCCAAAACCCCTTCAGGACCCCCCCCCAACCTTGAGGACCCCTCATAGGTGTCTCCTCACCTGCCTGCTGATGGGCTCAAGCTGCTGCAGGGTGCCCAAGGACCCCTAAACCCCTTCAGGACCCCCCCCAACCTTGAGGACCCCTCATAAGTGTCTCCTCACCTGCCTGGAGACAGGCTCAAGCTGCTGCAGGGGGCCCAAGGACCCCCAAACCCCTTCAGGACCCCCCCCCAACCTTGAGGACCCCTCATTGGTGTCTCCTCACCTGCCTGGTGATGGGCTCAAGCTCCTACAGGGTGTCCAAGGACCCCTAAACCCCTTCAGGACCCCCCCCAAACCCCTTCAGGACCCCTCCCAAACCTTGAGGACCCCTCATAGATGTCTCATCACCTGCCTGGTGATGGGTTTGAGCTGCTGCAGGGTGCCCAAGGACCCCCAAACCCCCCCCAAAACCCCTTCAGGACCTCCCCCAAACCCCTTCAGGACCCCTCCCCTCAACCTTGAGGACCCCTCATAGGTGTCTCCTCACCTGCCTGCTGATGGGTTTGAGCTGCTGCAGGGTGCCCAAGGACCCCTAAACCCCTTCAGGACCCCCCCCCAACCTTGAGGACCCCTCATAGGTGTCTCCTCACCTGCCTGAAGACAGGCTCAAGCTCCTACAGGGGGCCCAAGGACCCCTAAACCCCTTCAGGACCCCCTCAAATCCCTTCAGGACCCCCCCCAAACCTTGAGGACCCCTCATAGGTGTCTCCTCACCTGCCCGGTGACGGGCTCGAGCTGCTGCAGGGTGGCCAGCACGAACACGGCCGTCTTGCCCATGCCTGACTTGGCCTGGCACAGCACATCCATGCCCAGGATGGCCTGCGGGATGCACTCGTGTTGCACTGCAAGGGGGGGGACACACACAAAGGAGGGGGGGGGTTAGAAAGGGGGGGCACAAAATTGGGGGGGGTAAGGGGGAGAAATAGGGGGGGCACCCCCAAAGTGGAGGGTTAGAGGCAGGGGTCATAGGGGGAAGGGGTGGGGGGGGGTAGAAAGGGGGGTACAAAAAGGGGGGGGGATAGAGGGGGGCACCCCCAAAAATAGGGGCTTGGGGTCAGAGAGGAAAGGGGGGCGGGGCATAAAAAGGGGGGAAGAAATTGGGGGGGCAACCCCAAAATTGAGGGTTAGAGACAGGGGTCATAGGGGGAAGGGGGGGGCACAAAAAGGGGGGGCACCCCCAAAGTAGGGGGTTAGAGGCAGGGGCCATAGGGGAAAGGGGAGCAATGGCAGCTATAGCATGCATAGACACCCTATAGCACCCACTGACACCCCATAGGGTCCATAGACACCCATAGAACCCATAGCCACCCACAGACCTCAATAGCACCTACTGACACCCATAGCACCCATAGACACTCCATAGCACCCAATTAGCACCCATTAGCACCCTATAGCACCCTATGGCACCCTCGGAGGGGTGCTCCAAGACCCACGGAGTGGCTCGGCTCTGATCCCAATAGACCCTAATAGCACCCATAGCCCTCATAGACCCCAATAGCACCCATAGCACCCCATAGACACCCTATAGCACCCATGGCACCTTCAGAAGGGTGCTCGAAGCCGCAGTCCACGATGGCGCGGAGCAGCTCGGCTCTGATCCCCATAGACCCCATTGTAACCCATTGACCCCATTAGCACCCATAGCACCCCATTAGCACCCATAGCACCCATTAGCACCCATGGCACCTTCGGAAGGGTGCTCGAAGCCGCAGTCCACGATGGCGCGGAGCAGCTCAGCTCTGATCCCCATAGACCCCATTGTAACCCATTGACCCCAATAGCACCCATAGCACCCATAGCACCCCATTAGCACCCATAGCACCCATAGCACCTTCAGAAGGGTGCTCGAAGCCGCAGTCCACGATGGCGCGGAGCAGCTCGGCTCTGATCCCCATAGACCCCATTGTAACCCACTGACTCCATTAGCACCCATAGCACCCTATAGCACCCCATTAGCACCCATAGCACCCCATTAGCACCCATAGCACCCATAGCACCTTCAGAAGGGTGCTCGAAGCCGCAGTCCACGATGGCGCGGAGCAGCTCGGCTCTGATCCCCATCCCCATAGACCCCCATTGTAACCCATTGACCCCAATAGCACCCATAGCACCCCATTAGCACCCATAGCACCCATAGCACCTTCAGAAGGGTGCTCGAAGCCGCAGTCCACGATGGCGCGGAGCAGCTCGGCTCTGATCCCCATAGACCCCATTGTAACCCATTGACCCCAATAGCACCCATAGCATCCTATAGCACTCTATAGCACCCCATTAGCACCCATAGCACCCATAGCACCCATAGCACCTTCGGAAGGGTGCTCGAAGCCGCAGTCCACGATGGCGCGGAGCAGCTCGGCTCTGATCCCATCACACCCCATAGACCTCCATTGTAACCCATTGACCCCATTAGCACCCATAGCACCCTATAGCACCCCATTAGCACCCATAGCACCTTCAGAAGGGTGCTCGAAGCCGCAGTCCACGATGGCGCGGAGCAGCTCGGCTCTGATCCCATCACACCCCATAGACCCCCATTGTAACCCATTGACCCCAATAGCACCCATAGCACCCCATTAGCACCCATAGCACCCATAGCACCCATAGCACCTTCAGAAGGGTGCTCGAAGCCGCAGTCCACGATGGCGCGGAGCAGCTCGGCTCTGATCCCATCACACCCCATAGACCCCCATTGTACCCCCATTAGACCCATAGCACCCATAGCCCCCTATAGCACTCTATAGCACCCAATTAGCACCCATAGCACCCATAGCACCCATGGCACCTTCAGAAGGGTGCTCGAAGCCGCAGTCCACGATGGCGCGGAGCAGCTCGGCTCTGATCCCATCACACCCCATAGACCCCCATTGTAACCCATTGACCCCGATAGCACCCATAGCATCCTATAGCACTCTATAGCACCCCATTAGCACCCATAGCACCCATAGCACCCATGGCACCTTCAGAAGGGTGCTCGAAGCCGCAGTCCACGATGGCGCGGAGCAGCTCGGCTCTGATCCCCATAGACCCCATTGTAACCCATTGACCCCGATAGCACCCATAGCACCCCATTAGCACCCATAGCACCCATAGCACCCATAGCACCCATAGCACCTTCAGAAGGGTGCTCGAAGCCGCAGTCCACGATGGCGCGGAGCAGCTCGGCTCTGATCCCCATAGACCCCATTGTAACCCATTGACCCCGATAGCACCCATAGCACCCCATTAGCACCCATAGCACCCATGGCACCTTCAGAAGGGTGCTCGAAGCCGCAGTCCACGATGGCGCGGAGCAGCTCGGCTCTGATCCCATCACACCCCATAGACCCCCATTGTAACCCATTGACCCCAATAGCATCCATAGCACCCTATAGCACCCCATTAGCACCCATAGCACCCATAGCACCCATAGCACCTTCGGAAGGGTGCTCGAAGCCGCAGTCCACGATGGCGCGGAGCAGCTCGGCTGTGACCCCATCACACCCCATAGACCCCCACTGTAACCCATTGACCCCATTAGCACCCATAGCACCCATAGCACCCATAGCACCCATGGCACCTTCAGAAGGGTGCTCGAAGCCGCAGTCCACGATGGCGCGGAGCAGCTCGGCTCTGATCCCCATAGACCCCATTGTAACCCATTGACCCCAATAGCACCCATAGCACCCCATTAGCACCCATAGCACCCATAGCACCCATAGCACCTTCAGAAGGGTGCTCGAAGCCGCAGTCCACGATGGCGCGGAGCAGCTCGGCTCTGATCCCCATAGACCCCATTGTAACCCATTGACCCCATTAGCACCCATAGCACCCTATAGCACTCTATAGCACCCATAGCACCCATAGCACCCATGGCACCTTCAGAAGGGTGCTCGAAGCCGCAGTCCACGATGGCGCGGAGCAGCTCGGGTTTGAGCAGGAAGTCCCGGAACCCGGAGCTGTGGATGGACACGTAGGAACCCTTCACCTCCTTCTTGGCCGGCGCCTCGGGGCCTTCCCCCCCGGCCCCAGCCTCCACTTCATCATCCTCATAGTCCAGCAGCTCGTTGTCCACGTCGTTCTCCGCCATGGAGCCTGGGGAAAGGGTGGGAATGTCGTTGGGAATGGGGTTGGGAATGGGGTTGGGATAAAGGCAAAGATAGGGTCGATAATGGAGAGGATAAGGGGGTATAAAGGGTTGTCGATGTCGTTTTCTACCATGGAGAGTGTAAAAGGGTTGGGAATGGGGTGGGAATGGGATGGAAGAAGGTTGGGAATGGGGTGGGAATGTCGTTGGGAATGGGGTGGGAATGGGGTTAGGGGTAAAGGCAAAGATAGGGTCGATAATGGAGGGGATAAGGGGGTATAAAGGGTTGTCGATGTTGTTTTCTACCATGGAGGGTGGAAAAGGGTTGGGAATGAGGTGGGAATGGGGTGGGAATGGGGTGGAAGAAGGTTGGGAATGGGGTTGGGAATGGGGTGGGAATGGGGTTGGGGGTAAAGGCAAAGATAGGGTCGATAATGGGGTGGGATAAGGGGGTATAAAGGGTTGTCGATGTCGTTTTCTACCATGGAGGGTGGAAAAGGGTTGGGAATGGGGTGGGAATAGGATGGGAGAAGGTTGGGAATGGGGTGGGAGAAGGTTGGGAATGGGGGGGATGAGGTGGTGGGGAATGGGGGGGGATAAAGGGGGAGATGGGGTCGATAATGGGGTGGGATAAGGGGGTATAAAGGGTTGTCGATGTCGTTTTCTACCATGGAGGGTGGAAAAGGGTTGGGAATGGGGTGGGAATAGGATGAGAGAAGGTTGGGAATGGGGTGGGAGAAGGTTGGGAATGGGGGGGATGAGGTGGTGGGGAATGGGGGGGATAAAGGGGGAGATGGGGTCGATAATGGGGTGGGATAAGGGAGGATGCGCATCGTTGTGTGCTGTGCTCATGGGGTTAGATGGGAATGGAAAAGGGGAATTGGGGGGGAATGGGGCTGGGAATGGGGTTGGGAATAGGATGGGAGAAGGTTGGGAATGGGGTGGGGAAGGTTGGGAATGGGAATGGGGTTGGGGAAAGGTTAAAAGGGGGAATGGGGTCGATAATGGAGAGGATAAGGGGGTATAAAGGGTTGTCGATGTCATTTTCTACCATGGAGGGTGGAAAAGGGTTGGGAATGGGGTGGGAATAGGATGGGAGAAGGTTGGGAATGGGATGAAGGGTTGGGAATGGGGGGGATTGGTGATGGGGAATGGGGGGGGAGGGGGAAATGGGGGATAATGGGTTGTATAAAGGGATTGTCGATGTCGTTTTCTACCATGGAGAGTGTAAAAGGGTTGGGAATGGGGTGGGAATAGGATGGGAGAAGGTTGGGAATGGGATGGAAGAAGGTTGGGAATGGGGGGGATGTGGTGGTGGGGAATGGGGGGGATAAAGGGGGAAATGGGGTCGATAATGGGGTGGGATAAGGGGGTATAAAGGGTTGTCGATGTCGTTTTCTACCATGGAGGGTGGAAAAGGATTGGGAATGGGGCGGGAATGGGGTGGGAATAGGATGGGAGAAGATTGGGAATGGGGTGGGAGAAGGCTGGGAATGGGGGGGATGAGGTGGTGGGGAATGGGGGGGGATAAAGGGGGAGATGGGGTCGATAATGGGGTGGGATAAGGGGGTATAAAGGGTTGTCGATGTCGTTTTCTACCATGGAGGGTGGAAAAGGGTTGGGAATGGGGTGGGAATAGGATGGGAGAAGGTTGGGAATGGGGTGGGAGAAGATTGGGAATGGGGGGGATGTGGTGGTGGGGAATGGGGGGGGATAAAGGGGGAGATGGGGTCGATAACGGGGTGGGATAAGGGAGAATGCGCATCGTTGTGTGCTGTGCTCATGGGGTTACAGAATGGGAATAGAGAATGGGAATGGGGGGGGAAAGGTTGGGAATGGGGTTGGGAATAGGATGGGAGAAGGTTGGGAATGGGGGGGATGCGGTGGTGGGGAATGGGGGGGATAAAAGGGGGAGATGGGGGCTATAAAGGGATGGGATAAGGTGGGACATTGGCTCCATAAAGGGAGTGGGAATGGGATAGGGAATGGGGGGGGGATGTGGTGCCCTAACAAGGCTTGGGAATACCGGGAATGTGGTGGTCTCCAAAGCTTGGGATAAAAGGGGGGGATAAAGAGATAGGGATGGTATGGGAATGGGGTGGGTATGGGTGGGTATGGGGTGGGTATAGGATGGGTATGGGGGGGAAGGGGATAGGATTGGGAATGGGGTGGGATTGGGAATGAGGTGGGGATGGGAGGGAATGGGGATGGGAATGGGGTGGATATGGGGTTGGATTAGGAATGGGGTGGGTATGGGGTGGAATGGGACGGGAATGGGGTGGGATTGAGACGGGAATGGGGTGAGTATAGGGTGGATATGGGGATGGGGTGGGTATAAGGTGGGAATGGGATAGGAATGGGGTGCAATGTGGAATGGGATGGGAATGGGGTGGGATTGAGACGGGAATGGGGTGAGTATAGGGTGGATATGGGGATGGGGTGGGTATAAGGTGGGAATGGGATAGGAATGGGGTGCAATGGGACGGGAATGGGGTGGATATGGGGTGGG